TTTATTGCCAGTGTGGGCTAAGTGTTCCTTTGTATGTACTGTTAGCAAGGTATCTCCTGAACAACTGGATGGATTTTAATTACATGTCCAGAAACTAATCATTAAGTTGCAGGGCATAGGCAGTAAAGGCAAATGCTCAGGGCACCTTCTGTTTAAGGGGCACCACAAATCAGGGATGGGGAAAAAAAGAATTAAAAAAAGTATCGGGATGCAGTCAACTGGTGCTGTGTGTAAACATTAATTAAAATAAGGATGATAAATGTTTCGGTTATGATCTCAGAAAAAAGTTCAGGTTAAACTCTGGGGGGAGGGGTTGGTCAGCCTTGGGGACAGACAGAATGTGAGATAACAGACTCTGCAGCACCCAGGAGCAGGGAAAAAAGGATGAGGAGAGGTGGGTGGCTTATTTCTAGCAGTATGCAGGTTGGTTTTATTATTTATTGTTATTATTATTTTTTTGTTTTCTTTTACGTTTCAGGCTTTGAGACATAAAATAAATTTGAAGCTGAGTTTTTGAAAAAAAAAAACTAACATTTGAAACAATCTGTGGTTGCCTTATCTGCAAAATGGCAGGAAATCTGTGTAATTTATGAACGTTCTGTACAACTATGTTTTATTAACCGCAAGAATTTTGTAAAATATTCTTCAAATGACTGGAAAACATAAATAAACATCATTTATAAAATTTCCCAGGCGAGTGTACCCCTGGACCCCCCGTAGAACTGCTTTGTTTCACAGAACAGGTGTTCCATTGCTGTCAGAAGATGTTGGCAGGTATGAGGTACAGTACTTTTTAATACTTATGTCAACACTGCCTGTCTAGTCTAAGAACAACTGGATAAATTCTAATGAAACTTTCAGAAAGTCTTTACTGGATGACTATTCAGTTCAATACAGCTAACTGATCTTACAGAACACAACAATGACTACAGGCTACTGTACCCCAATTTGACAGACATTGATTTAAAATATGGTTTGCAGCCAAGAGTCATTTACAACACATACTCAGACGGACTGTGCAATATGTTTTTACTTAAAACTGTTGCCATAACTGTTGATGTCAACCTTACCTGTCTGTTAACACAATATCGCCTGAAACACCAGACAGATTTTAATGAAACTCATCATTTCTTTGACTAATTAAATCCAAAAGTAAAAACTTGCGTATTTGAACATACAGCACTGGGTACAGTGTATTTACTATAGTGGAGAGTGATGCAGTCCGTTTCCTATCAGACACAGAGCAGAAAGGTCTGGAGCTGCTTGCTGTCAGAATTTTAAACAGTCCAGCTCCCTATAAACAGTAAAGATAGAAACTGGCTACAAAGGAAAGTCACAAAAGAAATCAAATCCATAAAAAGCCCATTGGCTTGAGCATGCAATCAATCTTGATCAGAGGACTCTTTGAAGTGGGGAGAGTTGGTGCGTACACGCTTCCCCTTCCCTTCTGCTACCCCCTCAGGACTGCTCCTGTTTCTGCTCGTCGTGTCCAAATGGTGACAGAGTGATTTTTAAAAAAGAAAAGAAAAAGCACTGCAGCTTCAGAGCTAGACTGGACCCCCGCTGGTTTCCATTAGCTCAGGGAGAGGCAAACAGCTACAGCTCAGAATAAAGCCAGCCATCAGTGGAGACTGGACATGACTTCTTAATGTCCCACTGAAAATATCACATCCGCAAGGTGTTATTTTATGTTTTTATTATTGCTGTAAAAGAATCTCTGCCAGATCTGCCGACACCTCCAAAACTCAGATCTCCCATTGGTCCGTTTCACTGTCCACAGTCACATC